TAAAATTTAAGTGTATTATATTATTTTGATAAAATTTTAATGAATGTTATCATTGATCAAGAAGTCAAAAAGATATGATTAATATATACTGTATGTGGGTGCTGGGATTCAAACCTGGGTCTTCTCCAAGAACAGCCAGTGTTCTTAACTGGTGAGCCATCTCTCTAGCCCCCTGACCCATTTTTAAAATAATAATTTTCATTGGTCTGGAGATTACCAGCACCCACATGGCAGCTAACAACTGTCCTTGACTCCAGTTCCAGAGGATCTGATGCCCTCTTCTCACCTCTTCGGGCATTGCACGACACAGGTTCACTTATATACATGCAGATAATAACATGCATACACATAAAATAAATAAATAAATGAAAAATAAGTCTAGGTGACTTAATGAAAAAAATTTGCCAGTTGGGACAGGGATATAATGATGATCAAGATTGTTTGAGATGTTCTGTATGAAATACACAAAAAAATTCAATAAATTTATATGTATATATTTATATAAATATATATAAATAATTGAATCACAAAATTTGGGGGGGGGATCTGATTTTTCCATTAGGAAATTTACATCTCTTGGAAATTTCCTTTCTTTTTTTCTTTTTGGTCTTTTTAAGACAGGGTCTCACTGTAGCCCCAGCTGCAAACTCACAAGGATCTGCCTGCCTCTGCTTCCCAAGTGCTGGGACTAAATGCGTGTGCCATCACGCCTGGCTTTGTTTTTGTTTTTGTTTTGTTTTAAATATTTTATTTATTTTTATGTTTATGAGTGTATTGCCTGCATGTATGTAAGTGCACCCATGTCATGCAGTGCCACAGAGGTCAGAAGAGGGCTTCAGAGTCCCCTGGAACTGGAGTTAAGGACAGTTCGTAGCCACCATGTGGGTGCTGGGAATCGAATCCCGGGTCCTCTGCAAGAGCAGTCAGTGCTCTTAACCACTGAGCCATCTCTCCAGCCCCAGGTTTTGTTTCTTATCATTAGACTGTCTCTGACTACAAACAAAGAGCTGGAAGACCTCCAAATGTTATGTGCCTATGTTATTTTATCAGATCCCAAAGGAATAGCATCTTCCATATTTTCTTTATTTTTTTTTTTTTAGTATTTTATTATTTTGTTTTATGAGTGTGTTACCTGCATGTGTGTAAGTGCATCCGTATTGTGCAATGCCCATGAAGAAAAGAGTGTTGGATTCCCCTGGAACTGGAGTTACAGACAGTTGTTAGCTGCCATGTGGGTGCTGGGAATTGAACCTGGTCCTCTGCAAGAGCAGCCAGCATCCTTAATCGCTGAGCCATCTCTCCAGCCCCAATCTTCCATATTTTCTTAACCTAGTTTGAACTCCACATTCTGTTGCCTGTACCTCCTAAGTGATAGGTATGTAATCCCCTGCTTCAACCTAGTTACTGGGTTGTTTTTTGTTTTTTGTTTTTTGAGACAGGATCTCACTATGTAGCCCTGGCTGGCCTTGAATTCCTAGAGATGGGCTGTTTCTGCCTCCTGAGTTCTGGGATCCCCAGCCCTAGTAACCTTCTCTTAAGCACTTTATTCTTCTTCATGGATAACTGAACAGGAATGGTTGCAAATTTAAATAGTATGATCTAAGTAAAGAAGTTCATATCTGAGCAGAGACCTAAAGAGGTTGGGAAATGATGAGCCAAGCAGGTGTCTTAGGTGGGGAATTTGTTCCAGACAGAAGAAAAAGCCATTGTAAAGGACCCAGGGTAGGAACCTGCACCAAATACTATATGAACAGCAAACAGGCCAGTGATGCTAGAGTAGACTGAGATGAGAACAAGAAGCTGGTAGTGTGACCACGCTAGGCCATTGTAATGATGTGAATTTTTTTTAAGAAAGTTTTTTTTTTAATTCTACGTTTTTTTTATTTATACATGTACATGTGTGGGTGTGTACATATAGAGTTCAGAGGACAACTTCTGGAGGTCTGTTCTAGTCTCTACCTGGGCCCCAGATGTTAAACTCAGGTCATCAGGCTTGGCAGCACATGCCTTTAACTGCTGAGCCATCTCACCTGCCAAAGTTGCCATTCTTTATTTTTTCTGGTTTGTTTTATTTTTATTTTATTTTTTGAGATGGGGACTCACTATGTAGCCCTGGCTGGCTTATAACTCACTATGTAGACAACCTGGCCTCTCTCCTGAGTGCTGGGATTAAAAGGTGAACACCATCATGTTGTTTTAGTTTTTTGAGTCAGGGTCTCACATAGCTCTGAGTACTGGAGGCTGGCCTTAAGCACCTTATACTCTTCCCTCAGCCTCCAAAGTGCTGGGGTTACAAGTATGAGCCACCATACCTGGCTTGAAATGGACTTTTATTCTGAGTGAAATGGAGAGTGGTTTCAGGGTTTGGAGCAGATGAATGATACGGTTTGTGTTAGGTTTTGACAGGATCACTCTGGAGTCTCAGCTGATAGTAGACTGTAGGGGGCAAAGTGAAGTAGGGAAAACAGTTTGGCTATTGCAATAATACTGGCAAGGTGATATGGGAGTAGTGAGAGGTGGATCTGTTCTGAAATAAAGCCAACTGGATTTGTTTATGGATTGGATGTAGTGAAGAGTTAATAACTTTACCTAGAACAACTGGAAATCTGGCATTGCTATCATGGCTCAGATAGGAAAGGCTATGTAAAGAGCAGGTTTGCTCAGTCTGAGACTTGTTGCGTCTGTTTCCTTGCCATACACCCTTAGCTCTTTTAAAATTTTTTTTTAATTTTATGTGTATGAGTGTTTTGCCTATATGCATGTTAGTGCACCACGGGTGTGCAAACCTGCAGAGGCCAGAAGAGCATATCAGATCCCCTGGAACTGGAGTTATGGATAGTTGTTAGCTACCATGTGGGTGCTGGGAAATGAACCTGGGTCTTCTGCAAGAGCAGCCAGTGCTCTTTACCATTGACCCATCCCTCCAGCCCCAACACCCTTAACTCTTCAACCTTAACACACTGTTTTTTTAAGTGACCCATCATCTATCTTGAGTTAAGTGACCTTTGAAAAAGATGAAGTTTATTGAAGTATAGTTCACAAAGTAAAATGCACCTAATTTAATGACATGATTTGTACTTTTTAACAAATGTACAAATATATATATATATATCACTATATATACCACTATAGTGATACACACACATACAACACCACTATACCACTATAGTTAAAGTAATGTTTCAACCTCTCCAAAAAGTCTTTTCATGCCTCTGTACAGGAATCTGGGAGTCTGTGGTTCTAGTTTGGGGTCTCTTATGAGGTTGCAGTCTTAACTGTTGGATAGGTCTGGAAAGTCTCTGAAGACTTCATAAGACAAAGAAGCCACTTTTAAGCTCACATGACTTCTCTTCCTAGGCATGTGTACATCTCTATACAGAGAAAATGAAGTCACAGTGCATTTTTTGTTTTGTTTTTTTTCCAAGAGTGTCTTACTATGTAGCTCTTACTGGCCTAGAACTCACTATGTATACCAGACTGGCCTTGAACTAACAGAGATATGTCTGCCTCTGCCTCCCAAGTGCCAGGATTAAAGGCCTGGCATCACCATGCTTTTTATGACCACTTCTCTAGTCATCTGTGTCTTAGCTTATTAGAAGCTAGTCACTAAGTCTAGGCCACTTTGAACAGTAAAGGGGAGATTATTGCTCAAGGGTCTGAATACCAGGATGATGGGATCGTTGGGGCTATGTTGGAGGCCAGCCGTAATAATATTCTCTTAAATTTAGTTAATTCAAAAGAACTTAGAGTGTTAATAGAGAGGAAACAAGAAGCTTTATATTCTTTTATTCAAAACAGTGATTTTATGATTTGGGGAAATGGCCTCAGAAAATAGCCCTCTTTATTCATTCTTTTGCTTATGTGGTTGCCAGAGTATTTTCAGCCTATAATCCCAGCTTCTCTGGGCTACAGAGTGAATTGATGGCCAGCCCGGGTAACTTAGTGAGACCTTGTTTCAAAATAAAAAGCAAAAAGAGGGCTGGGACTCCAGCTCAGCTATAGAACTCTTGTCTGGCATGTATGAAGTCCCAGGTTCAGTCCCCACTCAAAAAAATACTTCTTTTCAAACAAAGCATCTTTGATAAGGAAGGCCTGTTAATGAACTATAAATAGGTACTTTATATAAGATCAAGTAGCCTAGGTATATATTTTTTGTTTGAAATTTTTGCACCCAATAGTCTAGCTTGATTTGTTTGATTAGATTTGTTCTGTTGTTTGATTAGATTTGTTCTGTTGTTGATTGTGGTACCAAGGGCCTTTCATGTGTTAGGTAAGTACCCTACAACTAAACTGTATCCTGAGCCCTAACTTTGGCTTAGGAAGAGTCTTTCTCAGGAGAGATTTAAAATAATACATAATTGTAAAAAGCTCTACAATCAAAAACTAATCATACTCTTTTGCTTATCTGTAAAAGGTAATCAGAACATCTGC